GGTTTCTGGATTCATCTAGAAAATCTGAGAAAGTCCCCTTCCACCTGTTACTTCTTCTCTCTATTGAAGCACCTCTCCACTTGCTCTGCAAAAATTTAAAGCATCTCTTCTTGTTCATAATTTTTGGAACTCTGAAGTCGCATAATCCTAACCTTTTCGATCTCAGAGTTTAGAAGATTTCAGTATTTTGCTGGAAGCTTGGTTTAGAAATCATGGCGGGATATGATTGCTTGCCGATGAAGATGAAGAGGAAGGATATTGACCGAGTAAACGACGACTTCTCAGATTTTTCCCTCTCTTCTCCTGCTAGAAAGATTCGCCGTCTGGTAATTCGTCCTTCTCTCTTCTGATTTCGACGAAATTTGGTGTTGAAACTCTAGGGTTCATTGTTTGTTGTTATTAGCCGTCGTGAATCGGTAGCCTCTAGTCCGGTTTTTGCGGAGTTTGTGATTACTGGGATCTGATGATTGTATTTGCGATGCATCAGGACTTAGATTTGCCACCGATTATGGAGGAAGAGGAAATCCAGTCTGCTCCTGTAAATGAAGAGAGAGCGATTGTTCTTTTCAAGCCTCCCCAACATCATTGTCAACCTTCTAGCGGACAACTTTTTGTTGATAGAAACTTGATTTCAGGGTTCAAGAGTAAGTTCTCTGAATTCTTTGCTTTTAGATCAGATTTACAATTCTTGGTCACTTATATACTTTTGACCCATGATGAGCTGTGAGATGTTATTTTTTTCCTTGGTGTTTAAGAATAGGGATATGAATCAATTTCTTTCTTCTGAATATTTTTTGAGACAAGCTTATGAGTTTCTGAGAATCATAATAACTCCTACAAAGTACTTGTCTGTCACAATGTTTATTTGCTACTATCCTGTTCACAATTGGTGGTCATGAGAAGATTTGCCATTCAATAAACCAGAAACTTCCCTTGTCGTCGATGATCATTTGGGAATTCTGTTGTCAACATGTTTAGTTACTTCTCTCCTTTGCATCAGTCCATCAGATTTTGCTTTTTTCTCGGTTGAGTTTGTTTTGAATGCTATATATGACTATGGTTTGTGATCCAAAATGTGAACAGCAATTGTGACGGGTGGCTTAATCGCTTTATTTTACAGATAGATTTCTGCAGAATGCAGCTTTAGATGATGATCTCTATGATGAGGATGACAAAACAAACAAGCATCAAGCTATTGTTTGCTGGAATCCATCCCAGTTCCAGTTCTTGGAATCCACAGGAACCATTAAGGAATCGCATGAGCCAGAGATTGTTGAGTTAGATGGTGAAGATACGATGATGGAGGAGGCAGCCATGGATGTGGACGAAGGAAACAGTGGAAGTGCGTCTCTGCCTCAACAGCAGCAGCTTGCGGAAGGGTCGTATCAGTGGCAGCAGCAACTTCATTGCATGGTACCACAGCTTCCCCAAACCAACTCTACTCCTATCTCTTGGTTCCCATGACTTATATGTAAATGTAGAAGGCGTCTTATTCATCAATCAGTAGTAGTTCTCTCTAGCTGTATATCTTGCACGTTTGCTAGGCTTTCAATGTTATCTTCTTCTCAGATTGAATGTAAGAGAACAGTGTTGTCTTTGGTGGAGTAGAGACCTACGAGATTTCCTTTAGGGAGAACCTTTTGTTTATTGTTTACGATCAAGATAAGCAATCCGGAATTTAACTAAGAAAAGCCCTTCACAGCCAGTAACCATCTCATCAAAATTTTCAAGAACTCGAATGAAACAGTAGCGTTTTTCAATGCCTAGGCACAAGACAAAGGTAAAGAAACCGGCGGTTGCCTTTCTTTTTGAACTGAGAATTATGGAAAACGGATGTACGCTAGTAATCAGTACGAAACAACACTCGTTTTTTCTATAATGGTGAGATTGGGCAAAGAAATGGATTGGCTACCATGCCACAAATACGACCAGTCCAGATGGTTGAAAGACACAAGGTACCCGAATCGGTCACAAGGAATTGTTCACTTGACCCCAATGGATGACCTCATTTGCTTGATTTCTCTATTGTTCTAATCTTCTCTACGTAAAAGTATTTAAAAGAGTGAATTAAATAGAAAACAAGGTTGCTGATTAAAACAAAAAGACGATAGAAAAACAAAGTTTTGTGTCCTAATTGGCAGACAAACCTAACTTTGCTCAAGGTAAAAAACGTTGCATTCGCTGATATTGACAGAATTGTGAGATTTTAGTAAATCTTAAGTAGGATCACATAGGTTATTTTTCGTTGGAACTAGTTTTCGACAAAAAAGTTTTAGACCAATTTTCATTGAATTTTTCGGTGGAGACGTTTATTGGAATGAAGGAATTTTGTGTGCGAGAGAAACGTCACCGTGAGCAGTATAACGTAGTGTATTCACTTGTTAAAATTATAGTTGATTTGAATGAAAAATGAAAGTCCAAAGTGGATGACTTAGAATGTTTGTAAAATTTTTAAAATTTAGCTAGAGCAATGTCCCACGTTGGAAGTTTTGAAGAAAATCATCAAGTATATAAAATGGAGAAGTGGATTAACTTATAACAAGGTTCAAAATCATGCATACACTTGAGTGTGTTAAAGAAACAAGATACTTGGACTTGGGGTTTGGGAATTGGTAAATAAGGCTACATCATCTACGAATCGTCTTCTCCTTCGTTTAGAAACTGTTAGAGTCGGGCCGAAAATATGGCCTACTACTACTCGTGGTATCCTGCTCTCGTTTGTAGGACTTACGCTTACGGGAAGCATTTTCTCCTGAGTCGAAGTGACGGGGTAAGATCCAATTTGGTCAATGAACTGAATTTCAGATTGGTCTTGGCTCAATGGATTCATAGCAGGATAATCGTTAACTCTGGTGTTTTCGGATGAATTTTATTCATATTTACGTGTTGTATATGTATTTATTTGTCCTCCAGAGACAGCACCAAATGTGGAAGCTAATTTCGCATTAAGAATTTGTATGTGAATTAGGAGAAGAAGACTTAAGGTTAGAAATATCTATAAATATGATAAGCAATGGAGATGAGTTTGACAAACTAGACTTATAATGATTTATAATAAAAGAAAAATCTCAAGTGAGATATCTTTACAATGTCGCTTTACATTATTGCTCGTGGAGCACATGCAATGCCTAGTATGGAAAAAGGTAGTTGTTTTCCTTGATGATCCTTCAGCTTTACATTATCGCTCGTGGAGCACAACTCATCCATGCAGTCATGCGTATCTTGGGCAGCTATGCGTATCTCGGGCATGTTATTCAATAAATCTTATGCACACATCGCCATTCTGAGCCAGTAAAAAATTATCTTTGACTCGTTCCCTGCTGAGATGACGGGTTTGGATGCCTAACTGATCTCCATATGTACTATATCCTTTCGCCCAAGTGGATGTGCAGTATGCGTTTAGGCTTTATTGGCCTACAACATGGGCTCAGGCCCAAACTTCGTTTATTATGCGTAGATTTTAATGAATCCGATTTTGTAATATATCCATCTCCAATAATATTAAATAATAAATTTAAAATTTTAATTCTTAAATCTAAAGTTCAAATTATACAAAAAAACATAAAAAGTTTAAAATATCAAAACTTAACAACATAAAACAAAAACATTCATTCAATTAATATAAAATAACCTAAACTTTAATAATCATGTATTTATGAAGTCAAAAGTTATATAAAAGGAAAAATGTTCGATAGTTAAACCAAGTATAACCCGTACATGGCTATAAATCCAAACCAATTAATGTCATCTATAAAGTAATGGATAAACATAATGACATGCACCAACAAACATAAGTTATTGTACCAACACCATAACTTTAATTTGGCAGTTACTCATTAACAAAATCTGTTAAATCTGTCTGATTTAATTAAAAACTAACCCATATTTATAGACAAACTATGTGAGATTATACTCGGCCCAATACAAAACTAAACCCAAAACCACCTGATTTATATTGATTTGGAAACAAGTAGTAATTTGGAGAAGGTTCACTCATATCTGTTAATGTGAAACATGTTTATTTATTTGCATAATTTTGGATAGGTTCGAGTTAAAAACTCAATCAATTTGTCTCGAGTACGGGTAGTTCATTGTTATGGTGTTGGTACAATGACTTATGTTTGTTGGTGAATGCCACCATGTTTATCCACTACTTGATGTAATGTAGTTAATGTGACATTAACGTAGTTGGGATGTGTAGCATGTTACGAGCTATACTTGGTATAGATACAAACATTTTTCTTATATAAAACTAGAAATTCAGAAAACTGCACTGGAAAAATGTTAACTGATAAACGTTTTAGTAAAGAGCACTTAGAACTGTTTAAATCTGCAAAGGACTGCCTAGTTTTGCTTAGCAACAAAAAAACGTTTAATACCGGCTTTTAGTAGGTAATCGCTACAGTCCATGAACACTTAGATGGCTCACCTAGAGTTGAGAAATATATTTTTCGATTTAATAATGTATAGATGTTGACTTTAATAGTTAACTCAATTCTTTCGAATTCAAATAATTTTTTTAAGCAAAAATTCCATGAAAGTATCTCAATTATATTCTGATAAGATTTTCAAAATCCTAATATTTTGAATGCCTAAATAAATACTTTAATTATTTTCTTTGTCTATTTTAATTCTCCAAGTCTTGTCCATTTATTCAGTTTACGAACTCGCGCCAACGACATTAACGTCCGGTATTTTTTTT